CCACACTGTACCAAGTAGAGAGGCGGAAAGCTTGAACATTGAAATGAACGCCCAATTATACAAGAAATAAGGGAAGGGATATGTCACCCCAATTCGTACCTGAAGTTTGACAGCCCAGGCACACAATAGGCGTTCTTTTCATATTTTCCTGCCAACGCCTCATCATGTCCACCCACACCAATTTCATAGCATTCTTCTTCCCTGCATTCGTTTAGGTCGGAAGCCAGACTAGATTCATGTTCTCAGGTTCAAGCCCCCTTGCAGGTCGTATCATATTTGAACATCTCCAACGCTCGAGAGTGGAGTGTAAAGCGTCGAGCAAGGTCCCCTGGGCCCTGAGAGGACATTTTCGAAGCTACCATAAACGTGGCAAGCAGATATCCTCCGATGACCGCCAGCCTCAGCCTCGAGATGCAAGCTGGCGGGCGGCAGGTTGATATCGTCGACAGGGGAATAACGACGAAGATCTCGGCGACGAGTCTCGATGGACCATACGGGGCGGATCCGAGACGGAATTTGGAAAGCCATGATACCCACCGTGAAAGTTGACAGATGTGATGTACGTCATTCCCGCTTTTCTACGAAGTATCAAAGCCGATTACGAGGGCATGGGCTGGTAGTCGTCGTTCTTCTGGAAACGAGCGTTATGTAAGTGGAGGCAACGGGTGGTTAACACCTGATGACTGCTCCCACGCCTCGAATAGGAAATAAGTTGAACAAGGCCATGGCTACGGCCTGTTGACTATGCATCATGTAGGTATACATGTGCGAATGTACGTGTATAGTGTAGCGCGGTGCGGTGAAGTGTATCTGTATGGAGGCGTTATGTGCGCCAGTCGTGACAACACATCGTGCGGGTCCCAATCAACAACCTCGAACTATTTGACAAAGTATAAGTTAGCCCAGTTGCCCCTCAGACTAAGGATATGCTACTATGAGACAAGAGCTGCAAGAAAAAAACGGATTTGACAAGTACATTGATGTCAAAATCCGCTTTGTATACGCTGGATACGAAAACATCGCTGCCGGGGAAAATCAGAAAACGAGCATCATCAAAAGCTGTTAAACCTCGAAACGGCCAAACAAGGAACGAACAACCTCACCTTGGTGTATTTCCGGTCAAGCAACATCGAGAAAACGTACCCCCGTTACCCACACCCCCGAGCCGGGCCAGCAAAAAGAGACCACTGCTGCCCAACGGCCATTGCGCCGAACAGCCAAAAAAAAAAAAAAAAAAAAAAAAAGAGACTTCTCGATCGCGGCTGCGAACGACATTCTTTGTCTCTGCCGAAACGGGCTGCCAGGCGCACCACTGCCACTCGTAGCTTGCTGAATTGTTGCTGCTGTCTACTGCTGCGACTGCTGCGGCCATTTCTCAATAATACTACAGTCTGCCTGGTCAGTTCCGTTTTGAACCATTTCCTTTAGATTTTCTTTTTCACACGCCCCTCCTTTATCATAGTCCATGGCATACATTTTCTGTCCATCCCACGCATTTTAGCCCCATGGCAAAAAACCCCCCAAGCCAAAATGGCTACCCCTGAAGAAGATGGACCATCATTGGACACAAATGACCAAAGAAGCATCATTGTGTACAGCATTGCATGTTGTAGGGGGAGGGGGGCAAGAAAAGAAGGGGGGCGGCCAACTTCGAAAGATGGGAATGAGAGAACAGGAAAAGAAAAACATAAATAAAAGATGGCTAACAAACCTTTTGTCTGGCTGAACAGAGTCTGAACAGTCCAGTACCAAACCTAGCATTCGTGACCTTATTTCATACCCGAGACCCCCGAAACGAAACGAACCACTTCTACTCCTCTCTCGGTTCTACTGCTACCGCTCCTCCTCTTCCTCCTTGTCTCCTCCATCCTATTCTCCACCACGTTGCGCATCGACGAGCTAGTTGCCTTCTCTAGCTAGCCAGACGGACCGGCCCGCCAGGGGAGGGGGACAAACAACACCAAAAAAGAAAATACCGGAGAGGAAAGAGAAAAACGAAAGGGGGGAAAAAAGAGACAAGAGAGAAGAAGACCATAGGGGGTGGTACAAGAAACAAGAGAACAATGTGTTACTTTTATCAAACACGTTGGTCCTGCGGATATTGGAGATGGGGTCAGTTCAAACAGCAATGCAACAAAGAATATCGGACGGGCGAAACATGCGGACTGAAGCTGGTGTACGAAACCATCACAAACGAAGACCGATGCAAGCTGTGCTACGATATGGACAAGAAGTATCGTCGGTTAACCAAGATGCAAGGAGACGTCGCTCGGTGGTGCCGCGAAGGGAACCGCAAGGCGACGGTCGAGCGGACGAACCTCGAGATACAGGAAGTCAACCGCCAGATCCAAGAAATGAACAATCAGCACTGGACACGGGTGAATCTGTTGACCTGATGGACCGTCTACTATCCGCCGGCTGCGGCTTTGCTGCTGGGCGGTTTGATCGTGGTCCATGGAGGGGTTCCTATATGGGTATGTTGCAACTTTTTTTCCTTTGGTTCGGCTCTTCTCTTTTCCCCTCACCTCCCTCTCCGAATTTTTCTCCATATACGAATGCCCCTCGTTTGCTGGACCTGTTTTGTGCGGTATGGTGGGAGTGGCGGATTTGCTGCTCAGGGGTAAGCCGAGTCGGGGGTGTGGTGTATGTGTGTGTGTTTGTGTGCGTGTGCGTGCTGCGTTGTGTGTGCCAGCTTCAGGACTGCCGTTAGCTGACTTGGCTTCTACTATCAGTGGTTCTCGAACCTCCCTCGCATCTAGAGGGGGACGACGATATGACGAAACGGAATGGAAAGCGCGCGGAAACAATGGTGCGGAAAATCGATTGACGAAGAAAGATTGAGGGAAAAGGGACAAGCAAGTCTTTGACACACTGCGGGACTGGAGAGATTTCCTGTTGAACCCTGGCTTTGGGGGGAATTTCCAAGTTGAACCACGTAACGGCCGTTCATTCGCTGATTCTGCATCATTTTTTTGATCTCTTTTTTCTTCTTCTTCCTCTTCTTTACTTTATTCATGCTCCCTTTTGCTCAGGTTGGGCGGGCGGAGGTTTAAATTTCCCAAAGACGGAATTATTGGAGGCTACAGAATCCTGTACAGTCTTATTTCTTAGCCAGGAGAGCATCTCGGCGTAGTTAATTTTAGCCCTCGTTGGCAGTCAAAGTGTTGTGTGCGTCTGGTGCCCGCAAGAGACCGCTTCGTGTAGGATGCTTCGTCGCGAACCCGGTCCGCCGCTTAGACGGCGACAGGGACTTGAATGACGGGCCCCTCAGCAGCACCTTGCTTAATTTGTATGCTCATCTCAAGTTGCCCTCGGAGTCCCTTCCGTCATTTCGAATTGACTCTTCTGTCCCCTGCCTAGAAGGCCTTGGCCATATAGATACCCATTTTTTGCAAGCTGAGCCCGAACAATTCGGACCCAGAGACTATTGGAATTTTGGAAACCGAATGATGGCAAAGCAAAGCGTGGCAGTCATACTTCCTTTCCCAGGGCACACACAAGTGAGGAGGGATTGATGAAGAAAAGCTCTCCCACTTTTTTTTCTTCCTGCACGGTTGCCCATCCAGCAGGTTTTTGGCGTGCTTATCAGGTAAGTAAGTTGCAGAAAGCGGACTCTGCCGGCGAATGAGAGTGGCACGCGATGGTTGACGGCGAAGGGACAGCAGGCGGCATTGCGTCGATCTGGTCTAGGTACAGCACAGGTACGACGGATAGCGGCCCTCCTGCAAACAGACAGGCCCTCTTCGCTACTGCTCATTTTGGCATTTCGTGTTTCTATGGCGAGCTTGTAAAGTTTATGTTCCCCAAGGCACGTCATTCGTTCTCACGTGTCGCCGTCAAGCAAGTGAGGCGAGACCCCGCGGCTTTGGATGAGCCCCCTCAAAGACTCCCGTGGGCGCCCCTCCTCTCCGAGTCCCTGTTAGCACAGCACACTGACAAGCGTACCTGTCATCTGACTTGAGCCCAAAGTGGAGGGAGGAGCGGGAGGAACAGAAAGGAGGGCTTAGCGTAGGAGAGACTGGGTACAGAAGAGGGACGAGAAGGATGGTGGGTTGTGTCGGGCTTCATGAGATGGGACTGGGAGGCCGCCCCATCTGGCCGCAGCACACCACCCCTACTCATGCCGTCCATCCCACTTCACTTCCAAGGTACCATTTCTTGGACTTGTCTCCGCCAATGAGCCACGGGAACCGCACAGACTCCCGCACAACCCTGAATGGCGGGCATCAGAGTCTTAATATGAGCCTCTAAATGCTTCCCTCCTGTGCAGAGTTGATGGTGCTCGTCCGCCCCGAAAGGTCGGCCGAAATCCAAGCTAGAGGTGTCGCTTCCAGACATGGCCCGGACTAGGATGCAACATTCCTTGCCAAAGGGTCCACACTAGAAAAGGTAAACATCAGCCGGAGGTGCACGTGGCCATCTCTCAATGGGCTAGGCAATCCAAGGCCTGCCGCTGAAGAATATTCGAGACACAATCATTGGCCCGCCATGGTACGAACCAGGGGGGCTCCAAAGTGGGATGGAGGGAATTTTTCATTGATTAATTCGTGGTCTTTGGGGCCCATCGTGTCCACCTTTCTCATAACCTCGTTGTTGCCCAGACGTTTTATACAAGGGCTTCGAACCAAGTACAGGGTTCTGACATAGAAAATGGAAGAAGGGGGAGAAAAACAAACAAACAGAAAATGCGATATGTGAGTGAATGTGGATGCTTCTTGGGGTGTGTGATTGTGCTTGCTCTGATTTTGTGTGGGCGGAATTTTGGGAAGCGTGTGTCTGCATACTGTGTTTGGAGGGGTATCGAGGGAAAAGAGAAAAAGATGTCGTCACTCCATGCCATTCCGTCCCATGTTGCCGTAATCCGACGGGACCCTGACCATGCGTCGACCAATACAAATCTTTGATAGAAAGGCAGCGCAATAATTAGGAGCATAGCTTAGCCGCCCTGCCCGTGAGCTCGGGTGGGCAGACACCAGGAGAATGATTCATGACCGAGAGTTTCAAGCCATTGCCGCTGCTGCATCGGCGAATGTACCGACAAGGGGCTTGTCCAACTCAGTCTTGACTGCTGGTACGCCGTGTCGCATTTCGATCGTGTCATCTTCCTGGGGAAGCCAGTCCACTTGAACACCGGTTGGGGCGTCGTCCTTGGACGCCAGCTTTGAAAGGAGGTGCTGGTACCGCACGATGCGGGCTTCTTGCCCTGCATACGCAAATGTAGTCGGCGCAGGGCGATGTGCGTGATCCTGCGGGGCAATCTCGAAGATGTCGACCATATTGCTAGGAAGACCGATGTTAGTCCTCCCGGTTCTGACATGAGAGCAAGCCCGCCGTCCCGGAGCTTGGGTCGAGAGTCAGTACGTACTCGGATGTTTTCGCTACGACTCGCTGCAGAGCCTCAGTCTCTCGCTGCACCTCCATCGGGTCCTCCTGTCCGTTAACGCTCTGCTCTCCGAAACTGCCGTAGTGCACATTGTTTGGATCGTCGTAAAGGAGTCGCGATTCTTCGTCCTGGAAAGCCCGTCAGCCGCTGCATGCTACGCTGCAAGTGCGCCAGCCCACAACGTCACCCACCTCGTCATAGACGTCCTTGTTTCCCCGCCCGAGGCATGACGCACAAATGCCCATCGCGAATCGAAAAATCGGCGGGTCGGTCCCTGGTCGTGCGATGCGCTGTACTCGGCAGATCTTGGGGCCCGTGTCGGTCGAAGGCGGTGAATCTCAGAAATAAAACGGCATAAAAGAGTGGACGGAGCTTTGCTACCAAGCAGTGTTCGGCAAGGGGATGGCGTGAGGGACTGGTTGATGGCGCATGTTTGGATTATGATGCTGCTGGCAGAAATCGCAAGATTGCGACGATGGAATGACGTTCTAATTTCGGCAGGCGGTCGAACGTCGGAATCGGAATATCACCGCCTCCGCCCTATTTCTCCACAGCGGGACGGGACGGCCAGGCCCGAGCTCCACGCAGCGGTTTTCTGGTGTTTTGGGACGAAAAAAAATGCTGGAGGACCCGGCAGTGTGTTCGAAACCTGGACCTTGCACCGACCCGACCTGGCGGCTTCCTCACTTAAAATTCCACGAGCAATCGCCGAACACCAATGGGGGCAAGTCTTGTCGTCGCAGTTGCGATGCGTCCTGCTCGACATCTTTGCGGCGTATCCACCTCATGATGCATGGCACCCATTGGCTTTGAGTTTCCGACTCGCGCAAGGCATACGCTTGACGGATTATCTTATCAGCGAAAGGGGTTGAAGCTGAGAGCTCTCCCTTGGGGACACAGACGTCAATATTGAGCGCTGTGTCACTTCTTTCCCTCCTCACATCTCCCTGGTCCCTGAAAACGGGCTCAGCAGCAGACTATTGACTTGGGAAACCCCCTTCATCGCCAAATACGGCCTGATCGCAGTCCATTTTCGGTTGAAGACCATCCAAGCGGAAGACGGCTTCATGTCCATGGAAAATGCTCTACAATATGGAACCCCCTCCAAAGATTTGCAGAGGCACTTGTCTCCGGTTTTCTGTACCCTCGGCCAGCTCTATTGTTCTTCGTGGGGCAATAGGTTGCAATACAGGGAAACGACATTCCTTCGGCAGCAGCGCAATGTGAAGTTTCCCAGAAGCCTTTTAGCAGACTGTCTAATACATCGTCGCGCAGTATCGACGACGAGCATATAACTCGATCAACTTTCCAGACAAGATGCTACTTCTCTTGATCATCAGCTTCAACTAACATACTCGCATTACCCAGCTTCCCGCTCCCGCCAGCAATAGAAATCGCCTTCCGAGCTTCTCTACTTCATATATTCTCGATTTCATCTGTCCAAGTACTCGCGAACCATTGTCACCATGGTTCACCAACGTAGCTTCCTGACTCTGTCAGTCCTCTCCTTGGCCTCAATTGCGGCTGCCCGCCCCGATAACCTGAGAGGACGAACACCTCCAAACCCCAACACCTGTCCCTGTCTGCCAGAGGGCACGCCGAGCGTCATCACCAAGACCGAGACCGCCCATTCCACAGTCTACCAGACCGCATCCGCTTCTTTTGTACAGGAGACCGTCACGGCTACACTCACAGTTACACGCCAGCCAGTCACCCAGACCGAGACCCGTACCGTCCACGTCACCAAGACCAAGACCGCTGAGGAGCAGGAACAAGTCACTGTCACCTGCACCGAAGTCATCAGCGAAGGTCCCGATGGCTCAGCAACTACCAAGACCAAGCCCCCCGGAGGCCACGAACACACCGAGACGAAGACGCGCACCGGCCATGGCGGCTCAGAGACGACAGCGCCGGGCCATGGTGACGACGAGCAAGCCACTCTGACAGACTCCGCTTCCGCCTCTGCAACGGCAACGCATACCGGCTCAAACGGCGGCAAGCCGACTGACAAGCCTCCCCATGGTGGTGACGGTGGCGATGGCGGTGACGATGGCGGTGACGACGACAATGGCAATGGCACCAACCCGACCTCGACCCACCACTGCAACCACTGGAACGGCACCAAGTGCGTCAAGCCGACCGATGTTCCTAGCGACTCTGCCATCACTCTCACGGCCACAGCCACGGCGACCGCAACGGTGACGGGCACGACAACCGGCAACGCTTTGCCAACCTACTCGGTCTGCTCCGTTTCGGTGGCTCTCGTTACCGTCTACAACACGGTTACAGCGACCGTCTACCAGACCGGTACAGCGCCTGTACACAAGCCCCGTGCGCCGACAGCATTGGCTGCTTGGTAGTTCGATCGCGTGCATGGTTTCTGGTTGTGATATATCGTTGGAAGTATTTGGGGACGACATAATTATCCCTTTAGTAAGGACGGTAATGGCGAAAAAGTAATGTCTACTGTAGTTAGGAAGGGGTCCAATAATATCAAGGTGTTTATGTCAAGTTTCATGATGCACAAAGTGACTGGAATGGATTGCCTGGGACGTTGAATTTACTAACCAGAAGTGAAAGTGTAAGTTACAGTATTTATACAACACATAAAACGTCTTGGCTTCCTATCAAAAAAATGATCGGGTGCGTGGATCAAAGACAAAAAAAGACACCCGACTGGACAAGGCAATCGATTGTCATGAGCGGTATCGGAAGCCCATGAAATCGTCGTCGTCGTCGTCGTCTTCGTCGTCCTCTTCCTCGTCGCCATTTACTTCCACGTTCTCTTTGCCACTGGCTTCAGTCGGCTTTTCGACAGGCGCAGTGGTGCCTGTGAAGCTCTGCTTCCTCAAAGCCTCCCGCTTTTCCTTTAACCTCCGAACCCGAGCCTCGAGCTCCTCCATATCCTCGAATTCCGTTTCCAGTGCCCGAGTAGCCTCCTCCTTCTCATCAAGTAGGTCTTTCTCCGCAAGCAGACGTCGTTTTTCTTGTTCCTCCTCTTCTGTCTTCGCTGCTGCCGTAGTCTCCTCGGCCGTCATGGCTGGTGCAGCAATGACAGCATCCTCCGAATACGGCGCTGTTGTCGCAGCAATATCCGCCTCAAATGCTGCCCACTCGTCCTCGTCAACAGTCCCTTCAACAGATTTCGCAGCTGTGCCATTCTGCTGTGTTGCTGGGCCAGCAGGAACCGGTTTCGTCGGCAACTCCTCTTGTGGGATCAATGGCGAGGGACCAACGGGCTGCACAACGGGGGTCGAATTTGAAGAAGTCGCATCTCGATGCGCAGGAGTATGCGGGCGCGACGGAATCTGAATCTCAACCCCCTGAACTGGTGTGGTGGACGTCCGGCGGTTCAGCGAAGGTGGTGTGAGTGTTACGTCCTTGCGATCGAGGTCTGACTCGCCAGCAGACAGACGAGCAGGAGTGCTCATATTCCCCTTGCTTCGCTTCTTCCGCACTGCATCGGCTGCGTCGTCATCTTCCATATCCTCGTCCGAGTCGTGTTTCCGCTTGTTCGAGGACGCTCCGTCTGCGGCCGCTGATCCGCTCGCGCTCGTGGATGCTTGTTGCAGCACTTTGACCTTGGCCGTATGTCCGGATCCACGGATATGGCTGTCCCATAGAGACTCGGCCTTGATCGCCTCGTGGCAAAGGGTGCATAGGAGCTTGCCCGCATCAGAGTAGGCGGCGTGAGGGTGCTCGATTCGTCTGGCAGCACGTTGCTGACGGAGGAGGGATCGTACGTCGGCCATGGTGGGTATGAACGCGTCTTCACGACACCTAAACGTGCGCAGATGCTCCGCAGACTCGGATCTGGCGAGGATTATGCTCAATGGCTCGTAGGTGTTGAAGATCGAATTGCCAGGCGAACTTGTATTCGGGCTAAGATTTGAATGGAAGCGACGCAAACGACGTAGCGTGGTAGCGAAGCCGTCTGTACCTTTGCTCTGGCCTGGGAAGTGGAGGTGACACGGTGCAGGTGCCAGGTGGGCAAAATTGGCGCCAGTCTGATTCAAGGACAGCGGGGTTGGTAGAGCACGAAAGGCCTGCCGACGCTACCCCGGGTGCCCATAGCTTTCCCAATCGGTGCTGACGGGCCTGACTCCTGCCTCGACAGCCGATCTTCAGCTGTCCGTGCCTTCAAGGTCCCGTCGCGCGATTCGCAGTCGCATTAAACTCTCGCCCACATTCCACCATTTCGACGCTACCGAGACAAAAACACTTCAGGAATTTCAACACACGAATAACTAGGGAATGATCACGACCATTAACCGACCTGAGATTATCCAGCGCCTCTCAACGACGATACGCTTGTCATAAACATGGCCGACAACCCAGAAGAGCCGTCGCAAAATGCGCTGGCCTCGACATTCCCCAACCCGCCGCCGTTCTGGAGAGACTTTACCTCGGAAAACGTAGCCAGGATAGAAGAGCTCCGGAAAGCGCAGGCAGAGAAGGATGGCATTGCTGTCAAGGACTTGCCAGCTCGCATACCGGATGTTCCTGAAAGCCTCATGAATCTCCAACCTCCGGCTGAGCCGCCAGCGGGAACATGGAAAGTCTTGGGCGGAAACTATACGGTATGTTTTGTCAACTAGTGGCAATTGAATTGGTAACGGAGTCGCTAATACTCCACGTAGCTCGACGACAAGCTTCCTTCTCTCGAGGAAGGTGAGATCAAGCGATTAGTGCCGGCGCATTCAGAGGAAAAGGACGGAAAGCATCTTGATCGAGCATTCGAACTCAAGAAAATGGCCAAGTCTCTTTTGCTTAACTTTCTCGAGCTCGTTGCCGTCATGGCTACCGTGCCAGACGACGTAAGTCAATAGTCATCTCTCCCCAACACCCCTCAAGCTGACCAGTTCCAGGCTGCTGCGAAAATCGAAGACTTGCGCACTCTCTTCATCAACTTCCACCACGTCCTGAACGAATACCGACCCCATCAAGCACGCGAATCGGCCATTGCGCTAATGCAATCCAACCTCGATCGTACAAGGGCGGAAACAGCTGCGATTCGAGCACAAGTTGACAAGGCTAAGCGAGTTCTCGAGGGCTTGGGAAGCCTTGATACACCCAAAGCACCGGAGATTGTCAGCTCAGTCGTTGATGGCGAGCTGACCAGTAAAGAAGCGGAGACTTTCGCCAGGGTAAGAGAACAAGAAGTATGGGGAGAGGCGGATGCCTTGTTCCTCTAGCAAGGGAACGGGATGTCAGCTGGTACATGGGAAGACAGCTTCAAAACCCTCTTTCCATGGGTCTTTGAGCAATCTAGGGTCTGAATACACGGATTGGTCGGCAGGGCGGTGACGATGATGAAGAAATGTTTCGTGGTGTTTTTGGCAAGTATTGATACCCAATTTCATACCCGACTAGGGATGAACCATGAGAAACGGGCATCGAGCGACAAGGCAATGCAAAAAAGAAGATGTTCCCGCAACGTGATATTGGATCGATGACAACGGGTGTGCTCTGCACGGGTCTGCAAAGGGGAAAACAGTTTTGGAGTCAACGACGTCGATGATAGAATGGCCACAAGGGCGAATCATGAATTCATGCTCGACTGCAGTGTCAAAGATATCAAAAGTAGCAAAACGGTATCAATCCTCCACAGCGTCGCTACATTGCGCCTTTAGAAAACCCCCCCCCAAAACCAAACGAATTTGTGATTGCGTCCTGTCGCAGGGAAATCCCCTTACATGACGGTGCAGGGGATGGGGATACAGCAGCACTCGTATCCGTCGCACTCAATGCATTTGGTCTTGCCGCCCGTGGCCTCGGCGGGCTTGACGATGCTGTCGATGATGGAGGTGGCGGCGCTGCCAGGGCCGTTGCGGTTGACGAGACCAGAGGAAGCTGAGCCGCAAGCCATTGTGAATGTGGTTGGTGTTGGAAGAGTTGAGTGGATGGGAATCTATGATGTTGTTAGTTGCTGTGGATCTTGACTTTTTGCTAAGGTAGATGCGTATGTGACGTCACGGCTGGAGCTTTCTCACTTACAGACGACTGGCAATTGAAGCAAGCGTTGGATGGATAAGAAGTTGAGATTGGAAGATATTGAAAGAAAGTTGAAACGTTTCAAGTAACCTAAGATTGAACGATGGAAGTCTAAGGTAGGTGCTCTCACGAAGGGAAAAGGCAGTCCAGACCCAGTCTCAGCCAGCCTTAAATAAAATGCCACCCACCCCGTGCCCCCCTAACCCAATGCAATGCTTGAATCTCCAAGGTCCCGTGTTTCTAAATCCAGCAAGGTTGTCGTCATGGCGTGGTGTGGGGGCAAAGCATAAACCCGGCAAAATGCTGTGGCTGAACCGTCTTCGATTCGTCGGCCTGCTCAGCCAACCAGTGGCAGTGCGAACCGGCTCCCGGGGCCGGGGTGTGCTCCCGATGCTCTGCTCCCTGTGAGTGTTTGCCCGTCTCACTGTTCGTTGTTCATTGAGTGCACCCGACGGTGGAAGATACCTTAGGTACACCGGACGGGAGGTGGGGGGTGGGTTAGGTTGATTCCTGTCGGAAAAGCAAAGTGCTGTCTTTGACTTAATACTGTCTTACTGCCCGTTGACAGCCGTTACAGCACTTTAATGGGTCGTAGAGGATGACAGCCCGGGCTGTTGACTCGCGACGGACCCAGCGCTGGAAATGACCGAGTTGAGAGATCTTGGCGAGTTCAGTTGGGTCTTGTTGGTGGCATCGCGTTGGCCGAATCCCACCACGAGGCCAAGAATCAATGATTTGCCGTTTCCCGGAAGATATGAGGATGAGGCTGGTAGAAGCCTATTCGCACAGAACCCTACCTTACCTTACTCCAGAGTGGCATCTATCTGCACGACTGATAGGGAGTATAGTCGGCCAGATTCAATGTCCTTCTTCTAACAGCCCTTGAGAACCAAAGTCGACTTTAGACGTAGGGTTTATTACCGACAAGAGCTATTGAAACAAATCACAGTACAGCCACACACGAGACGTCAAGGAACAACTTTGATTGCCCCCATTTCAATACAGCTAGACAATGAACTCCGTAGCAAATCCCTATTTAGCAAAGGCCCAAATGCCCCCCCACGAGGGAGCGGTATCTCCGTCTCTCAGTCCCAAGACCTCGCGTGAAACCCAATAAACAGCTACCTATGTACCGCGAATGAGAGGATATACGCTTTTGCAAGCAAACTTCTCTGGTTTGCCCTTCCAATAACATCCCAAGATCACGCCGACGGCGTAACCCCCTGTGCGCCTTGCGGAGCCGGAGGGGCAACGTCGCTGCCCTTAGCAGCTGGCGGTTGTTTCTCCAAGAGTTGGCTCAGATAGGTCAGGTCATCTCGCGCCCGCAGGTCTCTCTCCAAGATACCCCGAACGACCTCCCATTCTGTCCGCGACATCTGGTAGGCCTGGGGCAGCAGGAACTTCATCGTAGGACTGTTAATCAAAGGACCCAGAACCTCTTGTGCCAATGCCTGGCCTTGTTGTTGACGTTGTTGGTTCTCGAGTTCAGCGCCGCGAGCGGCCGTATAGCCCGTGGGAGGCTGGTTCGGCGGGACAGCCTGACGTGCCCCATGTGCTGGGTGCTCCTGTAGAGCGTGGGCAGTGTTGCCAACAGGATGGCTCGGCTGTTGGAAGGGGCCCTGGGCAACCGTTGGCGAGAATGCCGGGCCAGATATCGAAGGGTGTCGTGGAGGAAAGCCGCTTTGTGTAGGAGTTGGCGCATTGGTGACGGGTGACTGAGATGCGGTGCCGACCAACTGAGGTTGTCTGGGGGTATTGCGGTATACGAAGACAGCCAACAGCATAGGCTCCGTCCTCTTCTGAGGCACAAGGTTATCCGAAAAGTTGAGCATGAACTCTGGCATGTTGCTGTCTCCAGGAAGAACGGGAACCAAGTAAGTGTCCCTCACATTGCCCACGCCCTTGTCGCCGACAACAGCATACCGCTTTTTGGAGACGAAGTAGTCAATGAGGGCCTGGAACTCCCGTCTATAAACCTCGGACGACGGCGTTATTGCCACAACAACGATGTCGGTCTGATCAGCGTAGCGCAAGCCGCAGAGATACTCTATCGCCTTCTGTTCGTCTATGCGTCCGGCAACCGTGAGTTTCTTTGGGATGAGGCTGGTCCATGGCAATGCAATGGTGGTGAAGAGGTTGGCGCCACCGACAAACCTGGCCGCGGCCGGGAAGTCGGCAATCGAGCTCATTACCAAGTGACCACGCCAAATGACATCAGGATCTGTCTCATCGGTTGGCGAATAGGGTGGAGATTCCGTCTCTTCCTGCAGAAGTCTATCCACGTCTGCGTCAACACCAGGGCCATGGTTTGGCGCCGACGGCCGGCGGTTGTGTGTGCCCGTGGGAGATTTGACGGTTGCGTAAACCTTGTTGATGTCGAAGTCGGGATGCTTGGGGGAGTGTCGGGCTCCACGGGTATCGATGTGTAGACCAGCATGGGCAGGAAGCTCCACTGAGTTCTCGAAGTGCGATTCCCCATCCGACTTGATGCCGGCCTGTCCCTCTCGGCCACTTGGTCGTCTTATGAAAGACCTGCCTTCGTCATTTTGATGGAAAGACTCGTTCTCGACAATCTCTTCACCCTTGTGCGTTCTCCTCATACGAGGGCCATCTTCGGTAATGAGAATCGACTGCTTCTCAGAGATGGCCTTTAGCTGAGCGTTGGCCTCCTGCCTTTCCTTGGTAGCCAGCTCGTCGGCGGACATTGTGGCTAGCATAGTTGGCGACAGAGTGCGCTTCAACAAGCGTTTGGTTAAGTCGCCGTTCAGCTTCATATTCGCATATAGGATTCGCGCCTGCATTGCGTACTGGCTCCGATCCGGGTGTGCATCGTGAACCGCGCGTTCAATCTCGAGTGCCATGCGCTCCGCTTTAGCCGCAATAGTGGTATCTTTTGGGAGATTGATGGTCTTGTCCTTGACACCGGCATTGAGACCGACTACGACAGCCTTTTGCAAGAGTTGGGCGGGTCCCTTGCGATCCTCGGGGAGGTCGCTGACCTTTGTATCTAGGTCGGCTGGTACGGTGTAGTTGACGGCAGGGGATGCCTCTGGCTCGGAGACTTTGCGTTGCTTTGGCGCAGGCGTCTGGAAAGGGTAGAGTTAGCAATGCTCTGCACGAGTCTTTGCAAAGAGGGGAGGCTTACCTTTGCTTCCTTTTCACCAGTCTCCTCCCGCGTCTTGCGCTTGCCAGTGGCGGCCTTGGATGCGGCGTCCTTCTTGTCCTTCTTCTCCTTGGCGGGTTCTGAGGGAGCGGGTGAATCCTCAGCTTTGTTACTCCTTGTGTCTTGAGACAACTCCTCTTTGGGGTCGCTGGCTCGCTTTCCGGCTCTGCCGCCCTTCTTCTTTTTCTTTTTCTTCTCGTTCTGTTCGTCCTCGTAGGCCTTTCGACGAGACTCCCACGGGCGCTCGCCTTGCTCCATGAGAGCTAGTAGTTCCTTGTGGTCCTGAGGAGCACATTGCTCGCAGTAGTAGTTTTTAGGGAGATCTTCCGTAAAGACACTCATACCCATGCAAACGTTGTGCTGCCACGCTGTGCATTTGTCGCAAGCGATCCAAGGCTCCTCTGAGTCACCATCCTGCTCCGTTGCGCCGCAGACGCAGCGGATGATCTCTTCTTCTGGTTCCTCCTCTTGCTTCTTCTTCCTTCCTCGTTTCTTGGGCGGCTCGATAGGTTGGTCGTCGAAGGCCTTGGTATGCTGGCCTTTGGTTGCGCGCACAGAGCGGCGAGGTTCCGGTTCTCCTTTACGAACCATGCTGGTTAGATCTTGCGGGTAAAGAATGATGTAGTGTATATGTGCGTGCTTGTGCTTGTGTGTATGTTTTTGGGGGAAAGACGAGCGGTGGCTGGCTGCGGGGCAGCGTGAAGGTGGTTGCGACACTTACCAGACATAATAGCTTTGTTGCCAGCGGTGGCAGGAAAGAGAGGTGGAAGCGTTGAAACGTCTCCCTTGGTTGGAAAGGAGCGCGAGGGTGCACCTTTAGAGGAAGGTATGGGCTCTACTCCAGTTGTCGATTCAGGAAGGTCCGGTGTCCTCTGTGTCTCTCAGGCATGCATTGGATTTTATGGCAGAGCAGGAAAAAAAAAAAGACTATGATATGTGACCCATCCAAGATAGGTACGCGCGCGACACAACAGGCTCGATGCGAAGAGCGCAGACCGCGCGGGAACCCTTCCAATTGTCCCTCACGAGTGACTTCCAGCACAGATAATGAATATACGATCGCGCGACACAGTTTGCGACAACGAAATCAAGGTCGACCGTGGGGGGAGCGGTGTTCGCGTGCCGCTTTTTGGGTTGTGTGGGAGAGAAGCAGAAGGGAGCTTGCGCAAAGGTGGAGGTGATGTGAGTGGGTTGCGGTGCGGTGCGCTGCGATAAAACGGCGCGAGGTTGGAGGGAAAATGCCGAACCGCCTCCACATCTGTCATTATGTAATCGTCGTTAACCACGATCTTGGGCCCATTGCTCGGTGAGAAGTGCACGGATGCCGGGGAGGCGGGGGATGCATTGTTGTGGCCTTGATGCCTGGTTATCTTCGGTGAGGAAGGTGAGAGAACCTCTGGCCCCTTCGTCTGACTTGACTTGGGAAAGCAAGACGATGAGGTAAGAGCCTCCCGGGAGAAGCTCGGACCATCCTTACCTCAGCGGCTCAGCCCTCCCCTGGTTGCTCCCCCAGGCTGGCCAGCAGCGCAAGGAGCTAACGCGTGCGTCGATTGCCTGGAGCTTCATCGAGCTGCACCCAAAGTCGTAGCCTTCCCTGCAGACGACCAACAAACCATCGTGCCGCAACAACTTCACACAAATCCGATCGTCGGCTTCACGAACAAGATCAGTACCGCAATCGAACCCTGAGTCCCAGCTAAGTGCAACTCGAT